GTGAATATGTTGCCACTTGTTACGTTTCAAGGTCATACATGGTGAGGAAGTCTCAGGCGAAACTCCCAATCCGCCCTACCAATACGTCTGGGGGTGCGGCAGGGAGGATTTGCTTATGAAGAAAAGGATGGATGAGGAGATACTCGCGTCTGGGGTTTTGGGGGGTCGGGGATCTAGCTGTCAGGGCTCCGTCGTGGGTCAGGCGGTTCCGCCGTCCCTGGAGGAGGAGGAGGAAGAGAAGGAGGAGGAGGAAGAGGAGGAGGAGGAAGAAGAGGGCCAGTGCAAACCCAAGAGTCACCAACGATGTTGGAATAAACCTTCTCTCCAAGCTCCCTCTTCATAGGCCCCTACAACGGTGCATTTCCACTGAGGGAACTGCCTCGTTGGAAAACAACCGTTTGAAGACCCTGAAGCATGCCAACACATGGTTGTCGGGATTCCAACGCCACGGGTCAACCTAACTGGTGCGTCTTGACGATCCCGAATCGTGCCAGAAGGCCATTCCTGGGACTTCAGCACCACGAACCAACGTAACTGTTGCACCCTCATTATCTTGAGCCCTCCCCCCCAAAACACACATTTCCTGATACGCTGATCATGCGAGCCCGTGAAAGTTCTGCAATTGTTAAAAGCGAATGTGCGCGGCGCTCAGGCGAGAGCCACATTTTGAAAACGGCCCGCCGTCAATCCGTGAGTCTCCCGCCTTTTCTTAGCAACAAAACAAATGCGCCCGGCGCCAAGGCGAGAGCCACATGTTGAAAACGACCCGCACTCAATCCGTGAAGCTATTGCACATGTTTGCAACGAATGTGCGCGGCGCTAAAACGATAACCACATTTTGAAAACGAGCCACCCTCCATCCGCGAAGCTTTGGAACTTTGTGTAAAGCGAATGTGCGCAGCGCTAAAGTGAAAGCCACAGTTTGAAACTCACCCGCCTTTCAGTTGTGAAACTGCTGCCACGTGTTACGCTTCAAAGCCATACTGGTGAGGACGTCCCAGGCGAAACTCACGGCCCGCCCTACAAACTGGCCTCGGGGTGCGGCAGGGATAAGTTGTTTATAAGGATTATGAATGGAGGTTGGGGGTGGGTGGGGGGGGGGAGGAGGAGGGCAGGAGGGATGAGAAGGAGGATGGGGAGAAGAAAGAGGAGGCGGAGGAGGAGGAGGAGGAGGAGGATGGGGGAAAAGTGGGGGAGGAGGGGAGGCAGTAGGGAGAGGAGGGAGGCGGGGGGAGAGGGGAGAGGAGGAGCAGGAGGAGCAGGAGGAGCAGGAGGAGGAGGAGGAGGAAAGGGAGGAACGGGAGGAAAGGGAGGAAAGGGAGGAGGGAGGAGGGAGGGAGCGGGGGAGGGGCCGAGCAGAGCTGCGGAGCTCCCAGAGCCCGCGCCAGGAGGTACCCGCAGCTCGTCGACCCGCTGCTCTACAGGCCCGTGGCAGGGCAGAGGGCGGAGGAGGAGCAGGGAGGAGCAAGGAGTTGAAGGAGGAGCAACAGGAGGAGCAACAGGATGAGGAGGAGGAGGAGGAGGAGGGGCAGCAGGCGGGGGAACAGGCGGAGGAGGAGGAGGAGGAGCTGAGCTCGTGGGGTGAGGAGCAGGGAGGCGTTGCCCTTCTGGGCGGCACCCTCCCTTCAGGCACCGAGGGTCAGGAGAAGAAGGGGGATCGAAAGGCACAACATTTTTATGACCATGACGTGTCGGAGTTCCGCGCGGATTTCTTGGGTCGGCGCTGGGCCCCCCGTGGCGGCGCCTCTGGCGCCGATCCAAAAAGTCCGAGCAGACCTTCGAAGGTTTAAGATCATGCAACGATGACCAGGAGGAGGAGGAGGAGGAGGAGGAAGAGGAGGAGGAGGAGGAGAAGGAGGAGGAGGAGGAGGAGGAGGAAGGTGAGGAGGAGGAGGAGGAGGAGGAGGAGGAGGGGGGAGGAACTTACCAGTGCAAACCAAGACTCATCCACTAGATAGCAATACGTTATCCCTGTAAGTTCTGTCTCCATAGGACCCTAATGACATCTTTTTCATTGAGGGGAGTGCCCCGCTGGAAGACAACCGTTGGAACACCCAGAACGATGCCAGAACACCATTCCTCGGAATTCAACGCCGCGAATCACTGTTACTGTTGCGTCTTGAAGATCCTGAATCCCGCCAGAACTCCATTGCTGGGATTTCAGCATCACGAATCAACGTGACTGTTGATCCCTGACATCCCGACTTCGTGCCAGAGCACCATTCTTGGGACGCTGCCAATGAGAATCCTTGAGCTTGCTGCAAAAATTGAGACGGATGCGTGCGGCGCGAATGCGAGAACCACATTTTGGAAACGACCCGCCCTCCAAAGGAATGTGCGCGGCGCTAAAGCGAGAGCCACATTTGGAAAACGAGCCGCCCTCCATCCGCGACAGCTTGGCAAACTTTTAAGACGAAAGTGCACGGCGCCAACGCGAGAGCCACACTTAACAAACGGCCCGCTCTCCATCCGCTAAACTGCTGCAGACTTTTAAGACGAATATGTGCGGCGCAACGGCGAGAGCCACATTTCGAAGACGACCCGCCCTCCATCTGTGACACTCCTTGCAACCTTTTCAGACGAGCAGTTGGGATGAGGAGGGGCACGTGGGATGAGGAGCAGGGAGGAGAAGGAGGAGCACGATTGGGGTGTTGCCCTTCTGGGTGGCACCCTCCCTTCAGGCACCGGGGGTCAGGAGAATGGGGAGGATCGAAAGGCACAAACATGGCATTACCATGAATTGCCAGAGCTCCGCTCGGATTTCTTGGGTCGGCGCTGGGCTCCTCTTTGCGGCGCCTCTGGCGCCGCCCCTGGCGCGCTCCGCGCGCCAGGGAGACGGGTCTGGTGCCGATCCAGGAAGTCCGCGCGGACATTTGAATGTTTATGCTCATGCCGTGAGGACTAGGACCAGGAGGAGGAGGAGGACGACGACGAGGAACAGCTTGATGAGGGGCAGGGAGGAGCAGCATGGAGGATCAGGAGGAGGAGGGGGAGGAGGAGCAGGAGCAGCAGAGCGATTTTACAGCACGCCGCCGACACGCAGAGTCCGAGTGCCATGGATGCAGGGCCTGATTTCCAGGGAGCACGCACCCCAAATGCCAGTATCACGAAGAGGTAGACGATCTGGCAGAGCAAGTCACTGAGACATCACCGCCGCTGGTCTCAGCCACCGATGGATGACAGTACATTGAAGATGTATGCGTGCGTTGCTTTGTAGATGTACGCGTGCATGCGACGGGCACTCCCGTTGCGCGGGCTCCTGTTACTCAGCGAGCTTCCAGCGCCCGCGGGTTGGAGTCGCATTCTATGATTACCCGTCACAGCATTGTTTGTTTGTCTTCCCTGCCTTTGTTTCTTCTCTCGTCCTCCTCTTTTTTTTTTTCTCTCTCTCTCTCTCTCTGTCTCCTCTTGCTGCGCTGAGTGGGGTCGCGCACGTCTCTTGGCTTCTCCTCCCTCCTTCTGTGCCTCCTTCTGTGGCCAGTGCTTTATTTTTCTGGCAGGGGCCAGGCTTTAAAGCCGTCGGCGTGTGGGTCAGCCGAAATGTTGGCGGCTGAACTACCCTCGCTCCCTCCTCGCCCCCCTCTTCTGGGCCCGTACGCGCGCCTCCTCCCCCCACCTCGCCTGGTGCCGTGGCTTTCAGTTGGAGTCAGCATTTCGGAGCAGTGCGCGGTGTCGAGCAATCCCGACGCCCTCCATCCGCTGCTCCGTCTCACGCTGCGGCGCAGTGTGGCTGCAGTGGTGTGCAGTGCTCGCAGGTGGAGGCATCATGTTGGTGGCTCGTCCGGTGGAAAAAAAGATGTATGCGTGCGTTTGCACGGGTCATATCACTTGGAGACAGCCCAGTGGCGCGCCAGCAACACACGGAGCGTAAAACGGAAAAAGGCTTGCACCAATGGCATAAGGCTAGAGCATCACATAATATCTACATGAGCTGTGCCATCTAGCGCCTACCCACGGTGAACCGATCGCAAAAGACCACATTGGCTTCCGCAGGGGACACGCGTTCCAGCGTTCAACCACGGAGGCGATATCCATACCTTCGAAGACGAAGGCGCAATGTGAGGATGAGGGAAAAGGAGGAGGATAAGGAGGATGATGATGAGGAGGAGGAGGACCAGTGTAAACCCAAGACTCGTTAACGATGATGCAATCAACCCTCCCTCCAAGTTTCCTCTCTTCGCAGGCTCCTGTAAGGATTTATCTTCGCTGCGGGGACCGCCCCTATGGGAAGGCAACCGTTTGAAAATTGCCAACAGCGTCAAAGCACCATTCCTCGGAGTTCAACGCCGCGAGTCAACATTACGCTTGCGACCTGACTGTCCTGAATCGTGCCAGAACACGATTTCTGGAACGCCAACACCGCAAAGCGACGTGGCTGGCGCGCCCTGGCAATCCTTAATCGTGCCAGCGCCGTGTTTCTGGGACGCCAACCATCCTAAGCCTGTCAAGTGTTGCAAGCTGGTAGGACGAATGTGCGCGGCGCTCAGGCGAAAACCACAGCTTGAAAACCGCCCGCCCTCCATCCGCGAAGCAGCTGGACAATTTTAAGACGAATGCGCGCAGGGCGAAGGCGAAAACCACATGTTGAAAACCGCCCGCCCTCCATCCGTGAAGCTGTTGGAAAATTTTAAGACGCATGTGCTCAGGGCTGAGGCGGCAGCCACATGCTGGAAATTGGAAACATTTCAAACGAACGCGCAGGGCTAGAGCGAACGTCACATGTTGAAAACGACCCGCGCTCCTTTCGTGGAACCACTGCAAAATTCAAGCTTCAGGATCAGAAGTGGTGAGGACATATCAGGCAAAATGGTTGGTCCGCCCTACCGATCCCTCTTTGGATGCGACAGGGAGGAGTAATTCATAAGGCAAAGGGGAGGAGGAGGAGAAGGAGGAGGAGGAGGAGGAGGACGAGCCGGGAGGAGGAGCACTGGGGAGCTGCAGGAGGAGCAGGAGGAGTAGGAGAGGGAGTGAGAAGGAGGAGCGGCGGCAGCAAAGTCAGA